CTTTGGCTTATCTTGAGAAGCCTATTTTCCAAGAACTTCTGAAAATAGCTGAAGAAGAGTATGGATTACCAGGCAATGGCCCAATTACACTTCCGTTTGACGCGATCTTCATGGAATATGCAATCTCTTTAATCCGAAGAAATACGACTAGAGAAATGGAGATAGCACTTTTGATATCAATGACCTCTAATAGCTGTTCATTAACTTCCCACATCCAACAAGGCCAAGTTGATCAGAATTCATTAGTTTGTGCATTCTGAATTTAGCTATCCTTCAATTTTGTACACGATAATTGTTGTATATAGATAATTGGATCCAATTGATGAAATATGCAGAGAATTTCATATTTATTAGTGTCTTCATAATTCATTTCAAGCTGTTCTTAGGTGAAAAATTATGTCAAATGGCTACCAAATAATTATTAATCCCTTCCTAGAATAAAGATAAAAGCACATTTAGTAGGGAGAATAGCAGCAAACATAAAGAAAACTAAAATGCCTTTCCAATGTCTAAGTAATGGTGCTGATATAATTGATATAACGTTTATGGCAATCTAAACTGATCCTCAAGGACCTTCCTTCAGTACAGTCTCATGGTATTGATTTTTACCCTCAGTTATTTATGCATAGTTTAATGGTTACTTGTGCCAATCTGAATAAGAAGTTCATAAATCTTTTGGTTCAATATTGATAAGGGTGTTTTATACGTTTATTCGTGCCTTCAAATATAGATATTTCAAAGTTCTTTTGATTAATTATGACCTCATTTATTTTATATTTCGTTTATTAGGTGAAACTTGATGATTGAACGTGAAATTGGAAGAAAATAGAAAAATAGTGAAAAGGCGAAAAATGGTGAAATCCAAAGTTCAAGGACCTAATTACAACTTTTCAATAGTTGATTCGGATCACAAATTGACGATTGAAGATGTTATAGGTTCAATTAGATGAAATTAGAAGTTAAAGAACTAAATTGCAAAATAAAAGAACGTAAAAGAATCAATAATTGAATTTGGGGACCAAATTATACATCTGCAAAAATTACAACAAGAGCTTAGGTGCTATCACTCAGTGCCCAGGTGCTAAATTGCTGAAAATATTCACCGAAACTGGGCGTCTAGGCACCAATGAAATTCCTTTTTGATAAAATTCGTCTCCAATTGAAATTTTAATGCGATTTTCATCCAATTTTCGAGTCATATAAATACACAACAACCTTATACATCAAAAGAGGCCTCTCACACACCGATATTCATCAATTAACATCAACAAAGAGAAGCAAATTCTTTGTTCTTGTAAGACTTAAAAGCAATTACAAGTTTTTAAAAAATTGGAGTTTCAACCTTGATTTTTTTAGAGTCAGCAAGAAGATATTTTGGATATTTATCATTGAAGAGATTTAAGATTTCAAAATCCATCTTGTTCATCAATTTAAAATCTGGGTTATATTCTTCGAATTAAACATATTTTCTTGTGATTTTGTAATGTCAAACTAGAGTTTTAATTACTAAGACAATGATGAACCCTAATTATAGTATTTTAATATATATTCGATAATTTGACGTCCAAATTTTTTTTTTATTCTTGGATGATTGTTATATGATTTAATGATTTTTCAATTACATGATCACTAATTAAATTGGTGGTGAATTTTACTGATTTCGAGAGAAACAATAGGATAGAAATCACTTTAACAACCATTGTAAAGTCCGATAAGGAATATAGATATATTACTACTTTGCATGATTTCTGTAGATATTCTAACAATTTTAATGAGTGCTTTATGTTGTCATCTTTCATAGAGATATATGAAGGTCACATGAGATGATATATTTATTGACATCGAAATGTGCTTTTAATTGACTTTAGGAACATTGATCAATAAAAATGTTCACATATTGTCATGTTATTTAATTGCATTGAAATGGATTAATAAAGGGGATTCAAGATTTTAGTAACATTCTCGTCTAAATTTACAAAAGTTTTATAATTTGATCACTAGAATTGTTAGTTTAATTAGTTAATTAGTATAACTTATTCAAACAACTTTGGCTATTTGATTAAAGTTACAATTGATTGACACTGGATTAAGTACACAATCTTTGTGCAAACGACATCTCACTCGTCACTTTACTACTTGTTCGCGATCTCATACACTGGCGAAAAATCAAATCCAAAAAGAGGTAAGAACAAAATCAATAGTAGCACTGTGATATGGGAAAAGCGATTGCAATATGTCATTGATCTGATCTCCGATTGAGCTGATAATTAGAAAATGCCGGTTTACAACACGTTATTCTTTCAGTCTATATGGTTGAGCCAATGAGTGTGTCCAACTCAATAGTGGCTCGTTTTGGTGAGATCTAGCTCTTGTTATTTGTTATCATCTTGTATTTCATGGTCGAAAAATGACAAGTTATAGTTGGTTTGCCAAGAATATTGTGTGTCAAGTATTTATATATTTTATTTTATGTTTGTATTGTTAGAAGTGGGGTTGAACAACGAAAAGTCATAAAGTAAAACCAAGTCGAAAATGCTTTTTTCAAATCGTTGGTTTTGGTTTACATGGACTTGTTAACATTTTGATTTTGAACCAAACTAAACCAAACCGCTTCGAAATAATTTGATTTAAGTTTCAATTTTTGCAACTGTTCATGGGAAAGTCTAAAAATAAATTAATTTAAATTCATCAAACCCAAGTAAAACTAAACATATCCCAATTAAAAAGATGCGTCCACGTTAGACCCAACCCAATTAGGCAATTATCCATCATAATTAATTAATTAAATCATATCCAATTACCCATCGTTATCACAATTGCAAATGCAAAACCTCAAATTGGTTAAAGTGTTGAACAAGTGCTGGTGAAACATATTCATTGGTTGTCCATCATGACAATTGTTTAAACAATTAAATCTAGATTGAAATTAAACTCACATAATTTCTTTGCCTTCAACCAACAATTTTCTCGAACTTCGGCTCAATTTTCAGGTCTTTTTATCCAATTTTTCTTATTTTTGGAAATTATTTACTATATTTTATTAATAGTTGTATTGTTTTGTTCTAATT